TCACTGTTCTACATTTATACATGTTCCGTGTGGCGCCCTAATGATTTCACATTGCAGATATGCGCTTTTTAACGAGCCAGAGGAGTCTGTAAAGACGGACAGATCAGTTGGGCCCATGGGAGCCACCCAGACTCCTACAGAGAGGTCCAAAGGCCAGTGACAGAGCTGCAACTGCTCTGTCCGTCCAGACTGCTGTGGCCGGGGGTCGGCCCCCGGTGTGACGAATGGGACACTTGAGCCAAACTGTAACACCACCAGCGTGGTGGGTCCTCCTAATCACTCTGGCTGCCCAACGTCCAGCATCAGGTTTCAGATTCCAGGGGATGTGACAGTGCAGCTCCGGCCCAGTGGTGGCTCTGGAGTCTGGCACGGTTTAACAACAAACACAAACACTTTTTCACATGCCAGGCGCTGCACCAACAAAGAAAAGAACAGAAAAAAAAAACACCAAAAAAATACAGACAGATGGACAAATGAACACATACTTTCACGCGGGTGAATGTGCAGCCCAGGCTCCTGGGCTCTGTGACTGTTACTGAGATGGGGTCACAAGGTCAATCACAGCCAGCCCCGGTGTCAGATTGGACCTGGATGAGAGTTTACAAGAGTTGTTTCACCCTGCAGATGGAGGGTGGACTCTCCTGAAATATAATCACTTATATACTTGGTGATGCCATTCCAATAAAGAGTAATATATGGAGAGAATGGGACCAGCTGTCCTCCTCCAGTTAAGTCTTTGCACGGACCTCTTCAAAAAACAATGCAATAACACATTGTAATTCAGGGTGTTGTGTTATTAGTTCCACGCATTCTAAAGGTCACGTAAAACTTGGCAGAAAGTGAAATTGCCAGAACATAAACACTTCTATAAATATATGCTTGACGATTAAAGTTGGCTAACTCTGTGGTTGAGGTGGAGGGAGGCTGGATACAGAGCTGCAGGGTTAAACGCTGAGCGATACAGTGTGCTCTGCTGATATGCAAACTACACGATCAATTTACCATGTTAATTAAACTTGTCATAGCTTGCATAGGGCAGATGGTCTGAGGTGAAAGATGGCCCCCTGCCCCCTCTCTATGGCTTTTATTTCTGGTTTAGCTGGAGGAGGTGGAGTGAGAAAGGGGCAGAGCATGTCCTCTGTGCCCAGGATTAAAGCTTCCCTGTTTGGGTACGTGAGACCCACACCTCACCTCATCTTTGTCGACATCCACCAGGACCAAAATTAAGCGAGGGGAAAACTACGCAGGGAGATATTTCAGTAAACTGTGTGTCAATAAAGTTGTGTGCCAAACCAAACTCCATTTGCACTTGTTTCTCCCCCTAATCGCTCATCTAAACAAGCTTGAGGGCTGGTGAGAAAGGAGGAAGAAGAAGGGCAAGGGGGTGCGAGGTGGAAAGGTGAGGATGTAAGAAAGGGGGGGGTGAATGGGGGTCTGCCAAAATAAATGCATGAATGCCGTCTTTGACTGGGCGGCGCCTTTGAAGTGAGCTATAATTGCAGGCCTCTTGTCCAGCGGTGGAGCCTGTGGCAAGCCAGGTCCTGGCCGAGCTGACACGTCTGGCTGCAGCACAGAAGAAACATCACGGATTAACAATAAACAAAGTCAAGAGGCTTCGATTCAGCGCGATGCATGCAGTGTCATGCTTTGGTGCCAGAAAAGGGGAAACACACGGGAAGAATTCTGTGACTGCTTCATCCATTTGATCCTGTTTTAATAAAGGCCCAGTGGCAGACATCATTGCACTGATGTTTAACCTGTGTAGTCACTTATGCAAAGCCACCCCACCTCAGCTGAGAGATGACGGCATGTATAACAAGCAGCAAAGCAACGCCAGCTCCTGTGAGAGGATCCTCACAAAGCTCCTTTCACGGCAGCACATACATTAGGTAAGACCTGTGCCCTCTGGGAACAGCACTACCTGTGTGTACTGTACTCCGCAGTTCCCATGAACGCACCAACTGTATGAGCATTTGTTTAGGTGTTAATGCACGTGCATGCACATGCGTCCGTATGCTTCAGGGCACGGGGGTGAACCAGGGTCTAAATTGTGGCGCAGTAAAGTTCTGTCTGACCACAATGATGTATTTACACCAAGGGGGAGGAAAGAGGGGGGGGGCAGGGTGACAGGATTACATGGGATGTGATTAATACACATCCCATTGATGTTTTGTTTAGAAAATAAACTCAGCTAGTTCTGTGATTATTACACTGGGTTAGGTATTCTCCCTGATGAATACCTTATACAATGCACCTTTCAGGGTTTTTTTTTTTAATAAAATGCTTTTCTTTTGCTATGGGTGTGTGTTGCCTGGATCTTTTTTTCTTTCTTTTTTTTTTCCACCTTGGCACAGGCAAAAGGGGAAAACCCCAGTATGGTATTGCCTTACAATAACCCTCAGTGTGTACATAAGCAAATCTGTACTTAAAACAAATGGAAAAATGTCAGTGT